GTAAAACTCTGATGACTGAAATCAAAGAAAAGCTAAATAAATGGAGAAATAGTCCATGTGGACATGATCACAGAGAGGAAGGCTCCATATTGTCAAGATGTGAATTCTTGCCCTGGCCAGGTGGCTCAGTAGGTTGGAGTGTTGCCCCGTACACCAAAAGGTTGAAGGGTCCATCCCTGGGTAAGGCACTTGCCTAGGTTTGGGGTTGCTGGTTCGATCCCTAGTTAGTGCATACAGGAGGCAACCAATTGATATGCCTGCCTCCCGCCCTCCTCTCTTTCTCTCTAAAAATCAATAAAGACATATCCTCGGGTGAGTTTTAATTTTTTACAAAACGTCAATTCTTCCCAACTTGAATTATCGATTCAGTACAAGCCCAATCAAACTGCCAGCGAATTATGTTGTAGAGATCAACAAACTCTAATTCTAAAGTTTATATGGAGAAGCAAAAGACCCAGAATGGCAATACTGAAGGCAAACAAAGTCAGAGGGCTGATATTCAGAACGGCCCCCCATTCAGTCCCTTGTCCGAAGCCAGGACAGTCCAGGGCTCCCCAGGAATCCTGACTGGCCGACTCGAGGAAAAAGCAATGGTTTCGTCCCGACAAGAGCAGGGTGAAGAGGCAGGCCTTCTGTGTCTGATACCTACATTTGGGGAACATCCTACATCCTGTCCCTGAGCATCACAGGGCCCAGCGACCTTGGCAGTGCTAGGCTTATGACCGCACAGTTTCCTTGGGAAGTGCCCCTCACAAGCACCGGTGTCCCTCCCGGAGGTAGGAACCAGGCAATGTCACACATAAAGCCCCGAGAGCTCCCTCGGACAATTACTGGCATTTAAAACATACTTTAAAAACTCATTAAACATCCTTAAGGACAAACGTTACACAGACACACAGCAAGATCGACTAATGCTAAAGAGACGACACTGGAATGTTACTTTCTCCAAAGACGGAGTGCTGGGCAACACTGTCACTCGGCAGGAAAGCGTACGCCGGGCCTCTCCCATGCCCAGGGAGGCCAGCGCGTTTGGCAATCGGACCAAATATCCATAACCAGGCCAGAAGGCAACTCCTCCAGCCTCCAACTTCCCCCGGACAGACGGCAGCTTCGGGTCGCTGTCCTACCTGCTCAGCTCCGGAGGGTGGTTTGACAGCCACTCCGGGCGAGGAACACGTCATCACGCCACTTTCTGCTGGTCGTGTCTCCTTACTGATTCGATATACGGCCTGGGGAGGACAGAAGGCCCCCAAACATTTATCCAACTGGCGCTCAGCAGCTTCTGAAAGACACGCCGTAGTGGCTCCTCGGGCTGGAGTCCCGGCAGCCGAACTTGGCCATGGAGATGGTGTGGGTAGTGGCCAGCACGGCCTTTTCACCAGAGACCTGTGAGTTCCCATCTCGGCTCCCCCTCGTACTGTCTGAGTGACCCTGCGCACGTCACTTAGCCTTTCTGGGCCTCCGTTTCCCTTCGGAAAAAATTTTGTCTAAAATACAAACTACCCCCATGGGATTCTTCTGAGGATTAAATGTAACAACAGACACAACGGTCCAGAGCGTGCGGCACGGGAAGTACTCAGTCAATGCTAATTGTTCCTGTGTTTAGTATCACTAATAATAATTTAACCTGGCAGCTTCCAGGGCTAGAACAGCAAGGCCCAGCAACAGCTGACGCACCAAGTCGCAGGAGCAGAACTAACGGGGGTCCCGGCAGGGTTGGCATCAGCCCCCAAGGGCAGCCGTCTGGGCAGGTGGGGAAGACGTGGCTCAGAGTCCAAGTCCCACCTCTGGACTCTCAGCATCTCTCCATCCCACGCCACGTGGGAGAACCAGCAATATCAGAAGCCAAGCAGACTTCAGCAGGAAGAAGGCAAGAACAGGGCTGGGCTCCAGACCCTAGCAGATGCCTGGACGGGGGCAAAAGACAAAACAGTCAGAAGGGCCGCAGACTAGTGCCCATGGAACAGCCAGGGCTCAGGTCATCCTGCACTGGCGGGGGCAGCAGGGAACCTCCAGACCGGTCCACTCAGCAGGAGAGAATGAGCCCGCACTATGCTGCCGTGACCAGCTCTCCATGGACTGAAGACAGTGCCATCCTTAAGCTGTTCTCTGATCGCGGGGACACTACCACCTGCCTCTCTGAGCTAACAGAAGGAATAAGGTCCTCGGCGAAGGGACAGCATGGAGCCCATAGGGCACACCCGCAACAAGGCGGAGCAGGGCTGAGCACCTCCAGCTGCAGCTATCGTCTGAAATGTGCATTTCGGGGCACCCCAGCCCTGAGGTAGGACATGGCCAGAGGACCCTAGCCTCAAAGTCATTCTCAGCAGAACCCTTAGGACCTTGCCACTCCCAGTGGTCCTCCGAGGGGACAGAATCTGCACTGTACGGAGCAAGAAGCCATGGACTCATGCACATTTCGTCTGAGAAATTCTATTATCAGTGAGAAAAGCCCTTATCAATTGGTGGGATCTCACAAGGCTGTGTTCAAACCTATTTGCTCTCTCAAGTGGAGGGGTCTGAAGCCTTGAACATGTCCCTCAGTGGTCTGCCAGACCTGCGGCTCGTGAGAATGTTCCCAAGTAGCCAGAACTAAGCTGGTCCCAGCCACATGGAGGCAGAGTGTGGGAGAAAGCCAGGTAAGGTATCTGGGAAATGGAACAGAACCTGGGAGCAGAAGCATAGTAACAATACCAGACTCTCTGTTTCACCCTTGACTGTGATCACATATCTTGTTATTTCCTTCACCGTTTGCTCATCTTGGTTATTTGTTCCACTTCATCATTTGCAAGTTTGAGAAGACGGAAGTCACTCAGCCGGGCTAACGCATGCCAAGGTGACTTTCTCTGCACCAGAACTGTAGGTGGGAGCCTCCAGGGCCCCTGAAAACCAGAAATGATGGCCAGAGCAGTTAGAGAAGGGGAGAGATGTAAAATTAGGGGGGAAACACTAAGGATCCACCCTCTGTAGGCTTTCTTAAAAACTGTGTGTGTCTTTGTGTGCGCATGAATTGCACAATGGCTGTCTTCTCAGCAGGTCCTGGAAGATTTGCTGTGACTTCCTCTGAAAAGGAAGAGCCTCCACCCCTGTTTCTCCAACACCCAAATGTAGAGACCCTCGTAAGCTCAAAACCCGGCACAAAATGCCAGGGCCTTCTGGAACCCCTAATGAGTTCAAGGGCCTCAGGTTCAAAACTCCCTCCTAGCACCTGGAGTCACAGTATTATCAACTGACAAATGAGCAAAGAGTTTGGCCTTTCCCAGCAGAGACAGACGTATGTGCAATTCTGGTTTTGGGGTACTGTTGGAGCAACTGTCTTTTCAAGGGAACTTCCCCAGGCACTAAATTTGGAGGCGAGAAGGACGGAGAAAGACATCTGTTTGGAGAGGATGAAGGGAGGTAGAGGAAGAGGTAGAATAACACTTCTTTACTGCAGAACCAATAATACTGCATGGGTTGGGAGTCATTCAGTCAGTCAATAAACATTTACTGAGAGCTTATTGTATGCTGAACTCTATGTTAGGTACCAGAGGGACAACAATGATGAGAACAAGCTCTGTATTTCAAGTGGGAGTGCTGGACAATATGCAAATAAGTATATAAGGTCAGGTCATGTTATAAAGGCAAGAGGCAGAGTAAGCACATGTTGGAGGCTATTCTAGATCAATAAATCAATAGGGAAGCACAGCTATACCTGAACTTGATGAAGAGCTGAATTTAGGATCATTTCCACTTTCTTGGAGAGATTAAAAAAAACAAAACAACTTTGAACTTGTGTGAGGACCTATTAAAGTCCCATATTAATCATCTAAACCCAAAGAGAACAGTAGAACAATCTTCAGTTTGGGATTCGTAAAAAAAGAAAAGAAATAGCTACATCAGGGAAGATCTTAAACCTCAACAAGAGATCAAGCAATCCATACTGGCTCACTGACTTGGAATTTCTGTAAGGGACGGACTTAAAAGGGTTAGACCGTGATGGCCAGATAGTGGCAGCTAAGCGAGATGGAATGGATAAGAAAGGGAGATGGAAGAAGAAAATGAAACCCAGGATGGGGGAAAGCCCAGGGCGTGGACAAGCCTGCAAGGTGACTGGACATCCGTGTGGATTATGATACTGAAGTCACGAAATCCTTTCGGGTGCGGCAGAAACTTGGGCGGCAGGTGTTTGTTCAGAAACAACCTGATTCATAAGCTGAGCTTTGTGACAGCAGGAAGAATGGCCCCTCCCGCCAATCCCAGCTCAGAGAGGCTGGGGGCCCGGAGGACTCCTCCCAGGCCTGCCAGGGTGAGAAACAGCTTCAATTCCCACCCTGGCAAACAGAGGTCATTCTGAAAATCCGAGAAGCGGGGCTCAGGAACCTGGAGGTCAGTACAAGCCAACTTGCCCTTCAAGTTCCCAGGCGGCTGCCCCCCCAAATCTCAGAAGGAAATATTACTGGGTTCCACTTTCCAGGAGAACTGTTCCCTCCCGAGTATTGCAGATGCAATCATAACCTCAGCCAGTTCAGCCACCACTTCTTGTTCTAGTATGAACCCGGTGACTCCTGCAAACCATCCCGGGTGCTGCCAGAAACCCCGCCCCCTTTCGTAACCATAGGAACAGTGACAAGCCAAAAGCCAGGATTCCCGGTTCTGCTCCCTCCCTTACAAATATTGTTTCTCATTATCTGTCCACATGGGCGCACCACCTCACTATTGGTCAGTGCCCCAGGCCGGTGCCTTGCCCCAGCCAATAAGCGGCCTGTGCACGTGCACAGCTGCGTACCCGGATAGGTCACTACTGCCCGATCACGCACTGCCTACCTGAGCCAGCCCTTGCGTGGGGCGCCAATGAAATGACTCAGTAGCCATGTACAACCAATCGGCACCAGGCAGGGCTCCCAGCTGACCAATGGGCGCGCACCGGGGGTGGGCAATCCAGGCCAGTTTCCAGTCCCAGCGGGGTTTGTTAAAGGGACAGGCCCCACTGCAGGCTAGGGCTCCGAGGGGCACCTTACCGCAGCCTCTGCGGCTGTCGGTGTGCGACTGGCGCCCGTGACAGTGGCGCTGCTCTGCTCTCCACCCCTGATCCGGGCCGCTGCTGACCTATTTGGCAGCATGGGCGGCGAGGCAGGGCCCACGGAGGCCCTGGGCTGCGAGGGTCGCGTGAAGAGCCTGGGTCTGGTGTTCGAGGATGAGCGCAAGGGCAGCTACTCGAGCGGCGAGACGGTGGCGGGGCATGTGCTGCTGGAGGCGGCCGAGCCGGTGGCCCTGCGCGCGCTGCGCCTGGAGGCCCAGGGCCGCGCCACCGCTGCTTGGGGCCCGGGCGCGGGCTCGGCAGCCCCCGCCGCGGAGGTGGAGTACCTGCATGTGCGCCTGAGCCTGCTCCAGGCCCCCGCCGGTGAGCGCAGCGACTGCCCCAGGCCCCAGGGTCCTGCTGGGAGGTGTGCTTCCAAGGGGGTTGGAGCGGGCAGGCTGGTAGATGCCCACTTGCCAGGAGTGCCGGCTGCAGGCTTCCGGGGGTGGGGTCCGCCCGCAGGGTGGCAGGAGCCCCCTCGGTTGCTGGTGACAGGCAGGTAACAATGCCTGCGCCCCCACCTCACAGCACCAGGGAGATCGTGGGCGCGGTGGGGGCACACCTCTACCTGGTTGGTGTCCCAGGACCATCCAGACTGCTCTGGGCGTGAGCCGTTGTCATGGAAACCTGTGAGGACCTGTCAGGAATCCGGGTCCTGCCCCTTCTGGCCTGAGGCATGGAGGGCCCAAGCACACTCTGTGAGGGGCACGCTCTGGCGCCCAGTGTTTATGGGCCTCTCTTTCTTCTCGTCCTGAATCTAGATGCTCCTTCTTGGTTCATGATGAATCCTTGGTTTGTGATGAATTAGCAAAGCCTCTGGAAGAGGGTAGCGGCTCCGGAGGGGTGGCGGTTCAAAGGAAGTGTTTCTTGATCATCATTCTTGGTGTCCCTCTCTGGGGAGCACAGGTGACTTGAGAGGTCTGCCTCTACCTTACATTCTTGTTATTACTTTTGCTGCTTTTGTTTCCTCCCCACCCCCACCCCCACCCAGTAGGCCTTTAGAGAGAGGGGTCTGGGCATGGTGAGTGTTTCTGGAGGCGAGACCGCCCTTCCTTTCCATTTCTGTAAAGTCCAGTGAATAATACAGGCTTTTCCAAAAGTCTCCACGTGGAAACCCACTACATGGGTATACCATCAGCATTAAGTGCGAACACTGATCTCCATTAATCATGAAATTACTAGAACATTGAGGCTTAGCCTTATTTCAGTTGGTAGAAGCGATCTTACCTTTCTACCTTGTCAGCTTCAGCTTTTATCTATAAAATAATGGTACAACCCACCCCCCAAGAGTAAAAAGCAATATATCTTTGTCTGACCCTTGCTACGTTTTATACAAAATCAACAGAATGTGCAGTTCTGCCTTGTCCTACTGTGGAGAAGTAGATGCCCACAGGCAATCCTCCAGGTGTGGGAGAAGGGAGTGATGGCCAAGACTGTAGTGAGGGAAAACATATGGAACCAAAGCTCTCCTGTGGATTGCCAAGCGCAGTGTGGAGGTGACAGCTGCTACCTGCCTTCGTGCCCTGTCGTCATCAGCGTGGTTTCCAGAAGCAACTGCTCACACCTGCCACTCTCCCCCCCCCCCCCCAAAGGTAGCAGACCACACACATCACACACATTTTCAGGATGGCCACGGAGAGAGAAGTACATGGTTTTTGTCCAGGACTTTGGACTCTGTCTCTGGGCCCATGACTACTGAGTAAATAGATGTAAGATTAACAGCAGTTAGCACCGCATGGCAAAAAATTAGCAAAAATTAAATGCTTTGGTAAACTCTGGGCTCACAACCAGCGTTTTGATCCGCAAGTCAGACCTTGTTTTTTTCATTCTGATGGGATGAGATGTCCAAACCTAAACAACTCGAATCGCTTCTTTTCAGAATGTAGCATAACAAATATTGGCAAAAATGTGTTTTACTTAAAAATCACAGCTTTAGTTGATTTTATACAGAAAAGAGATCACTCCTAATATGTGTAACTTGAAAGAAGTTAGCAACTTTACATAGTCATAGATTCTCAGGGTCATTTAATCCCCAAACTTAACTGATTTCAATCACCTGAAGAGATTTTTAGACTATTGAGAGTTTGGGAACTGTGGCTATGGAATCTATTTTTAAAATACTTCCTCGGATAATTCTTTGGCGTTGTTCATCTAATCCAACTACCTACTATTCTTGTGATTGATTTTCTTCAGACATTTATTGTGAACCTGTAGTACAGAGACAAGACGGACCAGAGAGTTGGCTTCAGTTTTTGGTCACCCACCAGCAGTGTGACCTACGTGAGCCCCTCATCCTTCCTGAGCCCGTCTCTAGCTAGTCTTCTAGCTCCCACAGCTCAGGGGTGCCTGAGTTATGGGTTGTGGCTCTAAGGCCATGAGCAAATGAAACATCTCCCCATGACACGGTAGTCCTCAGTGCATGAGGGAAAGGACACATGACTCAGCCTGGGAAACTTTTTAATTCTAAGTAGATACATGAGAAAGAGAAAGGAAGAAAACAAATATTTGAGCCCTGGCCGGTTTGGCTCAGCGGTTAGAATGTCGGTCCCGAGAGACCCAGGTTCGGTTCCCGCTAAGGGCACATACCTCAGTTGCAGTTTGTCCCCGGCCCTGGTTGGGTTGTGCGGGTGGCAGCCACTCGACGTGTGTCCCTTTCACTTCGATGTTTCTCTCTCTCTCTCTCTCTCTCTCTCTCTCTCTCTTCCCCTCTCTCTCCCTCATTCTATCTGAATGGAAAAAAAATGTCCTCGGGTGAGGATAAAAAACAAACAGAAAACAAAGATTTGATTCCAAATACTACAGCCCACATTTTATCAGCTTTCTCAATTGTTTTTCCTGTTTATCTTTTGAGGTGATTGCGAGTCTCATTTTCAATGTTCCAGTTCCGATGCTGATTTGTTTTGTCTGAGAAGAGGGAACCTCATCTCTCGCTCTTCCCCTTTCGTATCCTGGGTCACTCTTTTCTCCTGTACATCTGTCATCATCGGTCATGCCCTGCCTCATGCTGTTCCCTTCGTCTGAACCCCTTCCCACTCACCTCCATGCCAGCCCTGGCATCCACTGTGGGTGTCGCCCTCCAAGTGCCAGTCCCCAACCCCCACGGGCTCCAGAACTCTGTGGTCACTACGTGGGTACAGGGTCTAGTCTCCCTTCGTCCCGCGGCGCTGTTTGAGGATTGAAGTTATTCATCTTTATATCCAAGTGTCTGACATCTAAGCACCATCTGACATTTGGACCTCAAATGAAATTCACAATTCTAAACATTTTAAAGTACTTAATGTCATATTCAGGAACCTAGTGATTAAAATGAGAACTCTAGCCCAGCTCTCGGGAGCACTGGGGTGCCTTGGGCCTTTTCCCCGCTGGCTGTGGAGCGAGTGGAGGGCTTGGCTGTGCCCCCCACCCCTGTGCCCCCATCCCTGCACCCCTGTGCTGTCGCTGCTGACCCTGCTCGGACCCCCAGGGCAGCTCCAGGGACTCGCTCTTACTGCCATGCAGTGTGGGCTCACATCCCTGTGACCTGCTCACTTCGTCTCCAAGTCACCCCGCTGGAGATTAGCTCTATTTGAGTGACCTCTGGCGGCAAACATTTTGTTTATTTTCCCGCCATGTACCACACCTTGAGATCTGGGGACAGATTCAGGAGACAGTGGCCAATAACCTGCTTTGTAGAAGTACAAGGTCACGATGTGGACTGAGTTGTTTAAGGTCTTAGAAGTCCAATGTTTAAGTGCAAACGATCCCAGCTCAGTGGTGGGTTCTGCCTTTAACTTGAATGAATGGATGCAGTCGAGGGCTTCGTGTTTGTGTCAGGTGACCGCGCACACGTTGAGCAAGTTCTCAGTCGGTGCGGCCCTTTCTTCGTCTGTGTCCCACCCTTGACGGAATGTCGTCATCAAGTGGAGTCTGAGCGTGAACATAAGGGACATTGCACAAGGGTCTCTGGCAGCCCCTCACTGGTGCGGCCCGTGTGGCACTGCCTTGCGTCTCAACGATGCAGGTGCCCGCGCTCGGCGGAGCTCAGCGGAGCCTGTGGCCCTGCACCGTCCGTCCGCACCTTGCGTCTCGGCCTTCTCACAACCGGGGACAAGCCATGGCCAGGAGTGAAATGGAGCTGGCTGGCCCCGGGCAGCAGGAAGGGGTCGTGGCCATGCTGGGCAGCGCCCCGCTAGATCCCACATTAACCACCCAGATGCCCATTCAATGGTCGGCGGACCTTCAGCATCAGTACGTGGCTCCTGTTTGCTAGCTGGTGCTGCTGGTTTGGCTGTTTCGTAGTATTCTCAATATGCTGATACTCGAAGTACATTTTCACCTCCTTTTCCACCTCTGCCCAAGAAGTACGTAGTCTGATTTTCATGGTGTACCCAAAATAAATAGATCTGCTTTTTGCTTAGTTTTCAGTCGAATTTAATATTGGTGTCTGATGTTAGTTTAATAGTGTACTAATGTTAGTATACTCATGCTAGAAGAGTGGGGTAATCAGATGTTTGTGGACATACGCATGTGAATCTATGTTTGTATATGTGTGTACACATATTTATGTATATGAGAGCCTTGGGCTCTCACACTTTACATTTGTTACTTGTGTAATTGTCTACTTGAAGACAGAAGCCGTGTGTGTCTGGGGTTAAACTTGGTACAAGCGTTCAAATTTTACTTCTGTAAGTCACAGTTTAATGAACTTTTGGGAGTATACTCGATATTATAGCCAGGCCCACCTCCTTTAAAAGACATCTGATTTTGGTGGTAAAACCTCTTGATCTAGCACTGATCTTAAAGGGAAATGTATTCTCTCTTTTAGGTGAAGGCGTCCTCTTACTGCAGCCCGGAAAACACGAATTTCCATTTAGCTTTCAACTTCCATCTGAGTAAGTGAGACTCTGTGACTTTTGGGATGTTCTCTTCTGCCATGTGGCGGTCCACCCGGGGGGGGGGGGGGGCAGAGGCACCTTCCGGCCCTCAGGAGTGCTTGTTTATCCTGAGGAGCACTGGAAAGACCTCTCCTGCTCACACCCAGGTTTCTTTTGGTTTTTTTAATCCTCACCCAAGGATATGTTTAGATTTATTTTAAGACGGAGGGGGAGGGGGAGAGAGAGAGAGAAGAGAGAGAAACATTGATGTGAGAGAAACACATCAAGTGGCTGCCACCCGCACAACCCCAACTGGGGCTGGGGACACACCGCAAACAAAGTACATGCCCTTGGCTGGAACCGAACCCAGGACTCTGGTCCACAGGCCGATGCTCTAACCGCTGAGCCAAACTGGCCAGGGCTCACTCAGGTTTCCTTTAACCCAACCAACATGTTCCGAGCTTTCCTGGTGTAACTGAAACATAAACTTACACGTGAATCCCTTGGCTGACTCAGACTGTTAGCGACCTCCTTCAGCGGGAGATACGGAAGCATCCAGTACTGCGTGAGGGCCGTGCTGGAGAGGCCCGCGCTGCCCGACCGGACTGTGGAGCGGGACCTGCAGGTCATCAGCCACATCGACGTCAACACACCGGCCTTGCTCGTAAGTCCTTCCTCCTTCCTCCTCTCTGCCTGCCTCCTCCCGTGCTGGGATCCACCCCGACCCAGCGTGGTGCTGGTCCGCCCTGGCCCTTCCCGATACCATCTTGTGACCCACAGGCGTTCACTCTGAGCGTGTGATTCTGGGTGGAGCCTATCACAGATCGTGCGTCTTAATACCGTTGACTGTGTCCCGGCCGTTCTGGGCTGCTCCTGCCAGAAGTTACCCAGGCTGGAGATGCGCTAATAAGGTTTAATAGCGATGATGATGCACACGGAGAGGGCCGTGCCTTTTCAAACCAGAGCAGCCACACTCGCAGGGCTGTGGTGTTCTCAACCCTTCAGTAATAGCAGGTTGAGGAACAGTAATTATGGAAGAGTATTAATCATGCCCAGCCTGTTATTGAGGCTCAGGCCATTATGCTGAGTATCCTTCCATTCTGCGTGTCATTTTCTAACATTAAGTAAGTACATGCAGCTGTCTTGGAGATCATTTCCTTATGACAGATTTGGCCACATTAAAGCATTGAACTTCTAATAATCACTAGAGATACTGTAGACTGATAAGAAAGATTAGCCTGTGAGTAACAACAGACGAGGCGAGATGGGAGCAAATGAGCGAGATTCTTTTATCTACACCCATATTATCAAAATAATATAAAATTATACCTTGTACTTTCATGAAAGCTACTGGGACCTAATGGTTCTTCATTTAAATATGAATGAATGATTTTATTTATTTATTTTTTTTACTACATGGAAAATACTGGGATAATTCGAACTTTTCATCATGACACTGATGTTACAAAGATGCATTTTAGTATGAGAGGTTTCTTTTTTTAGCCAATGTTTTTAAAGATAAGAAAGAGAAAAAAAAAGCCAGGAGTTAGAAGTTGTTTAACACTATTTTTACATGAAAATGGAACAGAATCTACTCTGATGTTCACCTTTAGATTCTGAAAATATAACAGATAGCCCTGTTTGCATATTTGTGGCCCAAATCATAGAATAACCAGCACCCAGCTAAACTGGTTTATAGCTATGACTTAAACCACCCGTGTAACACCTTCTTTGAAAATTGACACTGCTGAGTGTCTTATGCCTTTAAAAACTACTTAGAATTGGGAGATGAACTATTTCTAACTTCTTTATGGGGGCACTGTGGCAAATTATTTAAAGAGATTTAATTTTTTTTGGCCAAAAAAAAAGATACTATCTATCCTTTACTCTTCTATAAACAAAGAAAGACATTGTAACTTTGGGTTTTACAATGAGCTTGTGGTTGTGCATCTTGTAACCTGAGTCTTTCAAATCTCGAGTCATTTCATTTGATACTGTCCAGTGGGAAGTTAGGCGGGGCGTTCAATAATCTTTTGGATCCATAACACTGGGTATGTTTTCCTGCCATTACACAAAACCCCCAAACCATTCTCAGTTAAAGGCACTTGAGATGTCTGCCTAATAATGCATTTTGAAGTAAGGGGCCAAAAAGGTTGTTTGCTGATTCCACATTTTAAATGCCAAGACAAATAGAACATTAGGATTATTGATTTTTATGCCATTTCTCCTTTGACCTGATCTATATATAAAGTCTTAAAATAAAATTGTAGTTCTGCCACGTTAATAGATACTACCAGAGGTTTTTTATTGCTGTTAAGGGATGACATATTATTTCCCAGAAACATGACTAGGATGGTATCACCCTACTGTGAATCTGAAAATTCAGATTCGTGTTCCTAAAAAGGGAATGATTTTGAATGTTTCATGTTTCGGTATTTTACCTACTATGTCATGTGAGGTAAGAGAAGTTAATTTGTTTTTGTTTTTAGGGTTTTTTTTTGGAAGACATTTCTTTGCAACTACTTAAAGAAGAATAACATAATTTTAAGTTTCATGAATTTTCTAGACTGGTTTAATTACAGCTGTTTTGTTATTTGAAATTTCCCAGACCCCTGTATTGAAAAGTCAAGAGAAAATGGTTGGCTGCTGGTTCTTCTCATCTGGCCCCGTGTCGCTGAGTGCCAAAATCGAAAGACAGGGGTATTGCAATGGTAAGGACAATGCTCTGAAATTTTGGATGGAAGAGCCGCTAATTGTAGTAGCTAATTCTAAGTGATTGTTAAATGGCGTATTTTGTGATTTGTGAAATATATACTATTATAAAACATGAGTAATAAATGTTGCAGTTTTTCATATGAATTATTGATATTTAAGTATTTTTTAGTTGATTGCTAGATTCCAATAAAATGCCTGGTATTCCCGACGTCAGTCCTGTTACTGGAGTAACAAAGACTGAAAGTGGCAGAGGGGGGACATGCCCGCATCTCATTTAATGTTGTAAATGCGTCCAGAGCAGAGCAGGGCAGCTCCGAAGAGGACTCTTGTCCTGTGAAAATACCGTCAGGCGTTCTGAGTCAATGCTGGGAATACAAGTACCCGGGGCTAGAACGTAGCGCCTGGGCAAGTGTAACCGTCAGATGCATCTCAGAACTACCATGTGTGAAGGCCCAATTCTGTTCAGTGGATCTGGGCCCCCTCCTGGGTCCTGGCTTCTTGGGAATGAATGGGGAAGGCTATGGTGGTGGATGTACCACGTGGATGTGAAATCTGCCTCCTCTACCTGCTGTCGCATTTGTGCTGTGCCATCCAGTCCTTAAAGGAGAAGGCTTGGTGCTCCTGTTGGTCAGATTTTAATTGGATGGGCACTGAGTTTGTTAGTGATCTTTTGTACTTAACACGGTACTCAATCATTGACTTGTCAAGATACTGGTCAATTACATAACTTTAGAATTGGTAACTTAATATTGCTACATTAGAAAAGTGACGAATGCGATAGTTACAGAACAACCTAATATTGCTACGTTAGAAAGGTGAAGGATGCAACAGTTATAGAACAACCTAATATTGCTACATTAGAAAGCTGAAGGATGCAACAGTTATAGAACAACCTAATATTGCTACATTAGAAACGTGAAGGATGCAACAGTTATAGAACTTAATATTGCTACATTAGAAAGGTGAAGGATGCGATAGTTATAGAACAACATCTGCCACAACCTGCAGTGAATTTGCATTTCTCTGACTCGAGTGTACAGTATGAATTTTCCATCAGGACTTCCCAATCGGTAACAGTTTCGTTGCAAACCTTTCAGCTGTAATTGGTAACACCTCTCTTCCACTGTGGGGAGAAATTTCTGGAAAGTTTCTAAAGGTTTATTATTTTCTTTTTAGGAGAAGCTATTCCAATCTATGCCGAAATAGAGAATTGTTCCTCCCGACTGATCGTTCCCAAAGCTGCTATCTTTCAAACGCAGACGTATCTGGCTAGTGGGAAAACCAAAACCGTCCGCCACATGGTTGCCCACGTGCGAGGGAACCACATTGCCTCCGGGAGCGCCGACACGTGGAACGGGAAGATGCTGAAGATCCCGCCGCTCACCCCGTCCATCCTGGACTGCTGCATCATCAGAATAGACTACTCCTTAGCTGTAAGCGGGGCTCTTTTTAAAATCAAACGTGTGAAATGGAGCAATAACGGTGTCATGTTATGGGGAACGTGTACATTTGACACCTAGGAAATGTCACTTCAGGTCAACAGCATTTCAACAAATTGTGGAATAGATGAAAACTGGCCTTTGTTTTTAAACAAAAACTATCCCCCTACGAGATTTACTTGAGTGACAGAATTAGGGTGCATTACGGCACTTGCTGTATTGCAGACATGTACTTCTTTTGTTTGTTTGTTTGTTAATTTTTTTTTCTTTATTGATTTTTTTTTTTTTTTATCCTCACCCGAGGATATTTTTCCATTCTTTGTACAGATAGAGTGGGAGGGAGAGAGAGGAAGGGAGAGAGAGACAGAAACATCGACGTGAAGGGACACATCGAGTGGCCGCCACCCGCACGACCAACCAGGGCCGGGGACAAACTGCAACCGAAGTACGTGCCCTTAGCGGGAACTGAACCCGGGTCTCTCCGGACGCAGGCCAACGCTCTAACCACTGAGCCAAACTGGCCAGGGCTCTTTATTGATTTTTTAGAGAGAGAGGAAGGGAGAGGGAGCAAGAGGTAGAAACAGCAATGAGAGAAAACATCGATTGGCCGCCTCCTGCATGCCCCCCACTGGGGATCAGGCCCACAACCTGGGCATGTGCCCTGACTGGAAATCGAACCGGCAGCCTCTTGGTGCATGGGTCGATGCTCAACCACTGAGCCACACCGGCCAGGCCAGACATGTACTTCTTCCTCTGTGGTTACTAAGCCATGCTCACTCACATTGAAGTGTGTTAAGACCATAGGTCCCCATCACAGAGTGTCCCCTTGTCTGCCTTTCCCATGGTTTGTTCTTCACTTTATCGGGTCTAGACAATGTACAGTTGTATCGCAGGGGGCAGCAGGTGACAAAGGTATTTGTCTCTATGGGATGAATCGGCTTTTCGATGAGGTTTAATTTTCCTGGTGCCTTTCTGTCTCTTTCATTGTTTTGGCATAATAGGTCTACATTCACATTCCTGGTGCTAAGAAACTGATGCTAGAGCTGCCCGTGGTGATCGGGACGATCCCGTTCAGTGGCTTCGCCAGCAGGAACTGCAGCCTGGCCAGCCAGTTCGGCGTGGATCTGAGCTGGTGGGGCCTGGGGCTGCCGGAACGGCCCGAAGGTAAAGGGTTTGGGCTCTTTCTGAGCACAGTTTCAGAGTCCCTGGGAGGGCTCTGGCGTGAATTCCCGCTGCGCTGTAACTGGGCTGACTCTTCTCACTACTAAACATCGTCAGACACCGTTCCTGCCAAGTATTCTGAGAACCGAGCTTCTCCGGACCCGAAGCTGCTGCTGCCCGGTCCAGGAATAAGATCTAAGTCTCCTGATTCTGATGCATATTAGTAAAACGACAAAAGTAGTCAGGATAAAAGTACCGTGTGATATATTTTCTGCGGCCACATTTCAATGATTAAAATAATCATTACCTAGACGACAACACCTGTCTCAGAAGAGGAGCATGTAATCAATGTCAGTAGTTTAGTCCAAGCAGACGCTATGAAATATTTTTGTTGCCTTGGGCGTAACGACTTGCTGGCTAGGGGAAAGAATGCCATTGTTTTATCGTCAACTGTAGGGAGATTTCTTGTTTATGGAAGTGTTCGGAGGGATCAACGCGCTGCGATTTTGTGTCGACTTCTTAGATCCAACGCCGTTTCTGTTTCAGCCCCTCCAGATTACACAGACGTGGTGTCGGAGGAAGACTTCTCCGGGCACGGTTCTCCGCACCCGCAGCCGCCCGGCTGGGCGGGGGGCGCCCACTGCCCCTTGTTTGCCTGCATCCCCGACTTCCGCTTCCAGCCCCCACCTCTTTATTCCGAGGTAAACCGAGTCACTTCTAACACTTGCCTCATGCTGTTTGTACATAAGCCTTTGTCTGTCGCTAATTCCTGGTTAGTAGGGGATACATATTTGAAACATTGTTGCCCTGGCCGGTTTGGCTCAGCGGTTAGAGCGTCAGCCTGCGGTCCAGAGAGACCCGGGTTCGGTTCCCGCTAAGGGCATGTACCTCGATTGCGCTTTGTCCCCAGCCCTGGTTGGTCGTGCGGGTGGCAACCACTTGATGTGTCCCTTTCACATCAATGTTTCTGTCTCTCTCTCCTTCCCTCCCACCCTATCTGAACAAAATATCAAAAAATGTCCTCGGGTGAGGATTAAAACAAAACAAAACATTGTCACGGTGATGGTAGATTATCACTGTGTCTGTCCCTGGCCACCTCACAATGTCTCCTGTGCTCATCGGTCTCCTACAGCACAGACCATCGTTAGGGTGTTGATGGGGGACTAGAGAGAACTGAAGTGGCCCTGGGACTCCCGATAATCCCCATCATCGCATTAGAAATAGGGACCGGGCCATTTTTTGCATTGTTGAAAGTATTAGTTTTCCCCCTTTCCCCCATTGACACCCTCCTCCCTGAGCCCCCTGCCCCTGCTCCCCCCAGTCTGTTGCCTGTGCCCGCGCGTGTGCACGTCATCCTAAGAACAAATGGCACAGCAGTGACCCGGTCTGCCGTGTGTTGCAGGTTGATCCACACCCTAGTCACGTGGAAGAGAACCAGCCTGTTTCCTTCGTTCTCTGAACGTGTTTCGGAACTCACTGTGATCGGCCTCGGAGGAGAATGTGGGCTCTCTCCCCTGGCTTTCGGGGGACGAGGGAGGGAAGATGCGCTTGAGAACATAAATGAACGTCACCACCAAGACATTAAAGAATGTGCGCCCTGTCCAGTGGCCGACTGCTGCTCGCGTTCACAGGAGGACCACACGTCCCGTTGCAGAATGGATGAGCGCATGACCTCAGTGTGATGGGAGTCCCGGAGGCGAGAGTGACGGAGGGGCCTGCGCTGACCCGAGACAGGATGTGTGTGACCAGGGAACACTGTGCAGGTGTCCCCTTCATCGGGTTCTCAGAGCGGGAAAAACGGACCCTAAGCTTTAGGGCAGCATAGGCATCCTGGGAGGGGACTTGCTTTCAGAGAAGCTGGAGGCACAGGGATGTGCGGGGACAGGGAAGGGTCACCTCCGTATGCAAGGGGACCCCAGGTGCCAGGGGCTGCCCGATTCCCCCACAGCCAGTAGGGCTGAAGTCCGGGAAAGACCTTTCCGGAGACCGTGGTCTCAGGAGGTCCCCGTGAAGTGATTCCGTGTCCTTCCCCCAAGGCTAGTTTAGAACGTGGGTCCCAAATTAGTGGCGGGGCAGGATGACCAAGGAGGCCCTCGCAAGGTCTGTGCATTCAAGGGGGCACTGGAATGAGAACACGTCTGCGAAAGGCCGTGACTTCACCCTCTGTAAGTCCTTTAGCGGGATACATGTTCGATTTTCCTCACGTCTTATGTACCTAAGAGCACGTTAGAAAAGAAGGGGGGAAGGCTGTATCCTTAGGGTGCCTTGATAACTACTCGAGAGAAAAAAAGGGCCTTTTCCTAACCTACCTCGAGTGGATGCTCAGATGTGTTTGAAAACTCGTTCGGACAAGTCTTTGGAGGGTCTACCACTTGGCGGTAGCTTCTTATCTCCCCCATCAGTGCATCTGAACGCGAACCAAGGGAAAACCCTCGACTGTTCGCGTCAGATGGAAATTAATGCATACCAAAGGGTATTTCCAAATAAATGTGAAATTAAAGAGGGTAGAAGCGCCAGTCTTTAAAATGGACTTTATTCCCGTCAGGAGACCTTGTTTCCCGCCGGCAGCCACTGCCCTGGGACCTCCGGTTCATTAGTAATTCCGTGTAAACTGTGTTTTGTTTATTGTTTCGGTGCAATATTCCATTAGCATTTAACCTCAGGATACTGAGACCAACAGGATCATGCTGCTGCTAAAACTCGGAGGAGTATTTTTTCTGTTCCCCTTGACCTTCTATTCACGGTCTTACATTCACTTTTCTCTGTCCTCTATCGGCTGGTCTTGTTCGCTGAGAGCATTTCTGGCCGGGAGGGAGGGATTCCTGCGATGGACATTTGGGACCAGCTGAGGACTTGGGTCTCTTCCTGGGGTTTCATCTAGAAGCCCTGGTGCTTCCCTTGCAGAATACTGCACTCAACGGAACAGTTACCTTTCAATCAGTGTGTGCAGTGAGAAATAGAAAAATTCTCAAGTTCAATTCTGTATCTAAAATGCAGTTGCCATCTGATCAGGGATTTTTGTACAAACATTAGGTAAATGTATGTTTGTCCGCCGCTCTGGACAGACCTCTCTTCTCTGTGGTCATGTAAGCGTCAGGCACGATTCTTTCCGCGTGAGCCACTGTCGAAAAGTCACAGTGCCGTCTGGTGACGTCGGCGCTCGTGGGACTGCAACTGTCACAGAACTACTCCCTGCCTTGGTTCTCGGTTTTGCTTGTCTGGGTGTGTGTTTTCAAACAGGGATCTGTATTTGAATTTTGCTTTTACGCTCCTTTACGAGATCACCCTCCACTCTGGGTTGACTTCTGAATGGTAGTTACATGTCTTGTGAAGACTCTGTCCATGGTCGTGACCCAGGACAGAGTGGAGCAACGGAATGGGTCCGTGTGGGGAAGAGACAGGATTCTTCTAGAATCCTTCCCTGGGGTGGCTTCGTCACCTTCGCTAGAGCATCCAGAAGTGAGCCCAGAAAATGGAAGCACAGTTGAGGTAGCTCTTGAGAGAAGAGCTCAAAAGGATGATTCGCCTTATTGAATCCCAGTCAGTATGTCTGACCTTTGGCCACGGGGTTGAAACTGCATACCTTTTCATAATCAAGAAGCTATTTTATGAATGTAGAAAATTCTGCATTGGCACAGAGGATACTCGGAAATGAAGATGAAAACGCAGTTGTTGCATTTGCTTGTATATTCCCTTGTTTTAGTTTCCAAAGAAACCACAGCCTTAGAGTTTTCTTTTTGATGCAAAACTTTTAAAATGGAAAAATGTGAAGCTATTTAGCACACAAAAACCCTTCTGTGGGCAGAACTTTACTTCTGGGTGGGGGGGACACAATAAGAAACTCAATAGGTGGGGGGATGTTTTTGATCATTTGACTCTGACAGCTTTTTTATTTGTATTATTAAAAAATGTCACACCTTGGCCCACAGAACAAAATGAAGAATGTATTTTGTACTCCTGTTTGAACCCTATGGGTTCCTTTTGTTAATAAAATGATTACACTGGTGCTGCGAGTTGCTAGTGTTGTTTTGTTTTTGTATGACTGTGACTTCAACTGTGGTCGACTTAAGGAAAATCAGTCCCACCAATAAGCGTACTGCGGTGAGATGCTTGTGTTTCTGCACACGCATGAGGCCAGGCACATCCCAAGCCTGCGCCTGCCGTGGGCTGTTTCCCCACGATAATCGTGTAGCATTCCGTGAAGAGAAGCCGTTAAGATGAGTAGTAAGCATGAGCTATACTGGAGTTGACAGAGCATCCTCTGTCTTTATTCCTTAACAATAGTGGCCACTTTTTAAAGCTTCCGGAGTTGTCACGCTGTTGGTCCAGAATCGACCCACACTGGGGGACACCTAAATGAACCCCCTTCCCACCTCAATACTCACATGGACAAAAGCCATATGTCACATAGGGAATTCGAAACCTGCCCGGACCCTCTGTCCTGGAAAATGAACCTGGGCTACGTGGGAAAAATCAGCCCAGCAGCTTCAGCGGTTTACTCTGAAAGCATTTATAATATGTGAGATGGTGTTCAATAATAAATAGGCTCAACAATAAATAGGTCGTATCTATATCTGCATTTGCAGTGAACATAAACTGAAGTATTTGACTCATGCAGTAAATATCGAGGCAAAATTCACTGACGTTTCTGCAGCTTATATCAGAAAGATGTGGAGGATAAAGTGTAGGGCTAGGCAGGACATTACAAAGAATCGAGGGCAAAGCTTCACATTACAAATGAGGGTACCAGAGCCCGGAGGTGGAACATGAGGTTTCGACCTACATTCTCTGGAAGATCGTCGCTTGCTCTAAAACGCCCTGATTCGACAGCTTTAATAGAAGTTTGGAAACAGTAATTGCTTTAAATTACACAGTTTAAGCTTTGCAGACCTGGATACAAAGCACATGCTAAATCAAGTCTTCAGTGTTTATACCTAGAAACCCTGACTCCTGAAAGGAGTCTTTGATGAAATTGCTTCATAAGTGTGTTTAATTGGTGGCTGGGACCCTTTCTTCAGCAGAGACATTTGTTCCTAACTTTATATTTTGAAATAATTACAGACTCTCGATAATAGTAGAGGGATCCTGTACATCCATCACCCAGTCCCCTCCCCGCCCCCAAAGGTAACGCCTTACGTAACTGTGATACAGTCTCAAAGTCAGGAAACTGATGTTGATACAATATACAGGATCAACCAGAATCCAGGCCTTCCTTGGATTTCACCCGGTTTTGAATGCCATCACTGTTCTTGTCTATGTCTGTGTGTCTAGTTCTGTGACATTTTATGGCATGTCTAGGTTCACAGCATCACTGCAATCAAGATAAAAAAAATCCACCACCACCAGGAAACGTCACTGCCCTGTGTGGTCACACCCTCCCTCCCCTTTCCAAGCCCTGGTCATCTGTTCTCCATCTCTATAATTTTGTCATTTGGAGAAGGCTAGATAAATGCTATCAGATGGTATGTATCCCTTCCATTGGCTTTTTCACTGAGCATAACACCCTTGAGATCTGGCCAAGTTATTGTATCAGTCGTTGGTGCCATTATGTTTCAGCTGAGACATTTTAAAAGAAATTGACATTTACATTTTAATTTTGCTACTTGAAAAGAAACTGTGTAATAACATTTATGGGCACACGATAGCTTCGTAAATATTTTGGTTTTGAATTTGGGAACTCCGTTTTTGTGTTGAAAAATATATAAATGCAGGTTTACACAAACTTTTAGAGACTCATTTTTAGCTTCCTTTAAACAGCAAACTATTGTGTGATAAATGAGCAAGGTACCCCCATGATGAAAAGTAGACCCAGGAGAAACGACCTTGGACTGTTTTTCCTATCAGCTTCAGAATATATTAAGTTTAATGCAAATTACACAGGAAAGAAACTACATTTGCCTTTGTGTTTTTTTTTATTGTTTTTTTCCCTGTCTGTTCTTTAGTTCCCGTCTTTCCAGTCCCAATTCCTATATCTGAGATGAAAAGCCCACTTGGTACATGAGAAAAATTAACGATAGAACACGTACTTATTCTTAATGAAACAATATTATAAAATATGACCGACTCATTACGAGTATTCAGTTTTTCTCCCCAGGGGAATTCATTTGATAGAAGCCATTACATAAGAACCTAGGTAGCTTTTCCCTGAAACAAGACACGAGTCTGTCCGAGATGGAGCAGAGGACCAACGCAGACACACAGTGCCCGGGGGGAGGGCAGGTGAGAGGGGGCGACAGGGACCCATTTCCAGAATGTCACAATCACTGAATTCACGAGGAAGCATTTCTTAGGCGGAGCTGTTTCTGTGTCACCGGCGGCAGACTTCATCCTTGCTCACATCTTTGAGGAACACGCCTTGCACGGACAGGAAAGCAAGTGAAAATGCGGACTGGCCTGGAGCACTTGTACACTTCCTCTCCCGCGTGTGCACACTTGCACACACACAGACGCCCTATTTCTCACCTTGACCATCGCATCTGGGTCTATTACTCACGTAAGAATGTGAGTTCTGTTGCAAAAGGTAAAAACAGACCAGCAGTTCCTACTTCCACGGGAATTGGCTGGAAGAGAAGCCATTTCCACCAGCTTCTTATCTGTCTTCCCCGGACGATACCCATCTAATCAAGGTGGCAGGGAAATAGCATTAAATGAGTAAACAGAGGGTAGTAGATGCCAGGAATTTATCTTTTTCTTTTTTAAAAAATGTTACTGCATACCACAATAGCCATTTACCCACCCAGCCCCAGATCTATTTAGTAACTAAAAGACAAATGTTCTGAAACAAAATAGCACTGCTCATTGGATGGTGTTAGCTACGCTCTGCATACACAAACTCACTTCACCGTAACATGAAGATGCCATGGTCCTTGTGTTTTGTCTTAGATGCCAGAACCCATCTGAGTCCCCTGACAAGCAGGAGAGCTTATTTGTATTTCCTGTCCCTGCAAAAGATTCAGACTTGCCTGGACTGGTTTATGGAGTTGATTCAAGGAAAGATAAAGGTTTACGGTCTAGAGTTAATTAACTTCCTTCAAAGCCTGGCCCCCAGACAGAGAGGCTCTGTTTCCTGAGTGGAACTGCACCCCACCGGCAAGACAGCTCTCCCCAAATTGCTTTGTGCACACCCAGGGGTCTGGAGGAGGCACCCTGTCCCCCGATGCACCCCACTGCTAGGGAAACTGACACCTTGGTGGGCAGTGAACAGGTGAAGGATGAGGAGGCTCCCAGCGAGCGGCCCTGGGTGCCACACCCCAAATCACGACAGTGCAGGATGTTCCAAGGCAAAGCCGAGCTGATGCTCTCTAGTCCATCCACGGCCTAGCTGGGAGGGTCTAGGAGCCCGTGAGCCCGTGAGAAGTGACACCTACGCTCGCTCCTTCCAGACCTTCGCCACAGCTCCGTTTCCATGGTTTCAGGGGAGGCGAGCTGATGGAGGCACAGGTCAGGAGCCGAAGCATCTTTACAGCGTTTTCCTCCTGCCTCCTACAGGAAAACAAGTTTAAGCGGCATGTGGTTGCCTGTGCAGAGGAGGACCAGGCTGTTAAGAAACGGTCTGCAGGCTCCTTTGTCTTCCTTAAGAGAGGATGAGATCCAGGACTCCTGGTCAACCCCTGAGAGAACCTCCCGCAAGGTGGGTTGAAAAGCAAATCTCAGTGTTCGTTATTTCAGCCTTGACTCAGCTGCGCATTTGGGGTACAAGCAGAACACTGGCACCAGAGGACGCCCTAGCAGCCAATACCCACTTCACCTTATCTAACGTAGCAAAGAGCCCCGGGAGAGATGTCAAAAGGTAACATCGCAAAGGACTATGGCCGAGAACTCCTCCGGGGGAATGGCAGGGCAGACGTCAGGTCAACGTGATGTCGTTAAGAAAATTAATTGCATTGTGCTCAAACCCAGCACTGTGCTCCCAGGAGCAAAACCAGACAGCACCCCGCTGGGGCGGGGTGGGGGGGATGACGGCGGGGGGACGTTTGAAACGGAGCCTCTGCTGGCCCCAGATTTGCTTCTGATCACGACACAGAAGAATCACGGGAGGAACTGAGTCTGTGGGAGCCAGGCAAACTGCACAGTAACTTTCTCCAGCCTCGCCCAGCCACGGATGCCAGGACTTCAGCTTCTTCCTGACTGTTCCAGACAAGGTGGTGAGTGTCCCGTGGGCCCAAGTCTGGTCTGAGTCCTGGGCACCTGGGCACCTGCCTTGCTCAGCCTCAGCCCCCCGCTGGCTGCGTGACTCACATGCAGAACGGGGCACGTCCCCTACTCCGAGATGCTCCCCAACCGTTCCCCAGGTTTCTATATCCACCCGCAAGCCGGGGTCCTTCCATCTGCACCAAGACAGGCAGTCACAGAAAAGCAGTGTCAGAGCATGACTGCAGGAGGGACCCAATACCCAGCTCCCAGAGAGGCCACCAGGCAACCAACGGCCCCTCTGAATGAGAATGGGCAGAGGGACACACCGGGCCGGTGTTCCATGCACATGGTGTCTCAGAAACACCCAAACCCCGTAGGTAGGCAGGGGACAGAGGACTAACGCATCATCTGCAGGAGCTTCTGAGCACATGGCTCACTGTCTACGAGGTCAGGTCCAGGGGTCTCCAGGCCACCAAAGGGAAGCACAGGGTCACCTGCCTGGGCATCTTACAGGACGCGGGCACTGACGTACCCATGACCTTGCTCTGCCCTTCCCCTTGGCTCTCGCTGCCTCTTCCACAGCAGGCTGGGCTCACTGGAGAAGCATTTAGTCCCAGCGTGGACAGAACCACCTCGGGACTGTGGCATTTATAATACATCTGGCTGCCGTGACTTCGTGTCTGTCTCCTTTTCACCTACTGGGGTGGGGTTTACG